CTGTCTACCTTTTTCACCGTCCACCTTTTGCACGCGTATGAGGTGATTGAAAAGACCATAGCTAAGGTCAGGCACACTTTAGACATCAGAGTGCCAGTTCTTGAAGTGAGTGATACATTCTGGACTGATGTCTCTCCACCCTCAATGTTTCCCCCTGCACCCTTGCCCTGTAATGATACCGAGCAATGGTGTTAAAATTGTGGGTTACTGAAGTTGGAGGGCACCCTGGGAACCACCCTCATTCTCCAGTGAGAAAACGGGGACCTGGGAAGTTTTTGTTTTGTTCTTTGTGTTTTATGGATTTCCCAGCATCATGACAGTTCATGATTAGCCCACTGCTAGACCTACCTCAGAGCTCTGGTGGCTCAGTGGTTAAGAGTTCGGCTGCTAACTAAAAGGTCGGCAGTTCAAATCCACCAGCCTCTCCTTGGAAACCCTATGGGGCAGTTCTGCTCTGTCCTGTAGGGTCACTATGAGTCAGAATCCACTCAGTGGCAATGGGTTTGGGTTTTGGTTTGGTTTAGACCTAACCTCTGGACAAAGGCTGGTGGTTTTCTGGTGCCCACCTCCTCCATTGTCTACACTTATCTATCCTCCTTTAGGAGTCTAAATGTCCCAAGCAAAGTAACGTGGCTTGTCTGGTTCTCCGTCCTCTTTGTGGTCCCTCTGACTCCCTCCTGTGGCAGAGGCCCACTCTATTTCAGATGAGTAACATTTGCTGGTTCTTCAGAGCTGCCAGCTGAGGAAGATCATCATGACCTTTTTCCTTCCTTCCAGCCTTTCTGTTGTTTGTTTCCAGTTTGGTAGGATAGGAAACGGGGCATTCTAACAGCTGCCATCACAGGGTCTAAACAATTACCATTTAGAATGAGAAGGAGGAATCTCATCTCTTTCCCCGACACCCCCATTCACTTCCCAGGGTTGCCTATCGTTACCTTAATGAGACTCTGCATATATAGGATTTTTGGCCAGATGTAGTAAGATATAGTCCATGCTTGTATTTGTTTAAAACCTCTCTTTGTTACAGAAGGGTCACACAGACACCCATCTGAATGACTCTGAGAGCGGGTCTTGCCTTTGAACTTGTGGGCTGCCAGCTGGTCCCTCAGTCTCTCCAGATCATTTTAGTTGTTTCTGACTTTTGAGACACCATGAAGCTTGAGGCCTCTAGAGCCCGAGTTTTCAAACTGTATATTGAATAAGAATCACTTGTACCATGTGCTAAGAATTCAGATTCCTGAGCCCAGCCACCAGAGACTTCAATCCAGAGAGTCCGGGCTGGAGCCCAGGAATCTGCATTTTTACCATGCATCACGGGTGATTTAGAGCTACGATGATCTAGGCTTCCACCATGCCAGGGTGGGTTGGGACTACAAGAAGGTCTAATGTGGAGCTCTCCCTACCTTCACCCAGAGCAGCTGCACGTGGAGTCATTTTATAAATGAAGCTTCAGCCTAAGATGTGTTCAAAAGAGAATTCTGCTGATAAAAATAAATAACCTGGAATAAAATTTTTTGCAACCATTGCTCTGGACTAGAGTAAGTAGAAGGAAGCACAGCCCAGCAGTGTTCACCAAACTCCACTCATTTCTTGGTGTGGCTTCATTTTTCTATACAGAACGTGTTTGCTTTCTTACCCTTTGATGGCGCTAATCAGTGTTCTGTTTTCCACACTTTCAGAGGAACTAAACTGCTGAGGTTCAGTACCTTAAAGCCCGGGTTGCTGGGTCTCAGTAGAGACCTCTGAGCCTGTGTTTGCTACCAGGTACCTTAGACCCTGGTGCTTCCCTTCGCAGCTTCCACAACCCAATTCAGACCCTTCCTTGGGGAGGAAACAGCTCCTTCCTTGGACTCTGTCTTAGTTTCCTGAGGCTGCTGTACTGAAGTACCACACACTGGGTGACTTAAAACAACGGAAATTTACTCTTTTACAATTCTGAGGCTAGAAGTCCAGAAGGCTCTAGAGAGAGATCTTCCCTTGCCTCTTTCAGCTTCTGGTGGTTCCTGGCAACCCTTGGCATTCCTTGACTTGTAAATGTGTCACTACAATCTCTGCCTCCATCTTAACATGGCCGTCTTTCCCCCCATAGGGTCCCTGGGTGGCACAAACGGTTTACACTCAACTACTAAGCAAAAGGTTGGTGGTTCAAACCCACCCAGTTGCTCCAAGAAAGAAAGGCCTGGCAATCTGCTTCCATAAATATTACATCCAAGAAATCCCTGTGAAGCAGTTCTATACTGTAACACATAGGGTTGCCATGACTCATGATCGGTTTGACAGCAGTGGATTTGGTTTGATTTTGGTTTCTTCCCCCTATGTCTCTCTGGGTTTCTTCTCTGTAAGGACTTATAATGAATTAGGACTCTCCTGACTCCAGTGTAACTTCGTGTTAACTGATGACATCTTCGAAGACCCTATTTCCAAATAAGGTCACATTCACAAGTACCAGGGCTTAAGACGTCAACATATCTTTTGGAGGAACACAGTTCAACCTGTAACAGACCCTAACAGATCACTGCTCACGGTCAGGGAAGTTTGATTCCCACTTTACCAGTGATCGGTAAGTGGTAGCCCTTGCCTGATCCACCTTCAGTAGACCAGATGCTACAACTAATCTTGCCTGCTGCAGTTTACAGTGTCTCTGCACTATTGGGTTTTTCGTCCCCAAAGTCGGAAGACACTGAGTGTCTTTGGAGCCTCAGGTTTGGATCCGATAACTTGAAGGGATAAAAGTTGCCATCTTTTTGCCACTGGTACTAATGGCACTGACAACCAAGGCTGCTGATTATGGGAAAAGAACTGAAGGAGCAAGAGCAGAGCTGTTAAATTGTGTAAATGGTATTTTTTCCTGTGAAATCTCAATACCTCCCTGAGGACATTGCATTTTAGTTCTTTGAGCCTCTCTTCTGTGATATTTACTCGTTGGGGGTTTTACTCCTGAGAAATCACTGTGGCAACAGAACCGTTTTGCCTCCATGAAGACGATGTCAAAGTCTCAAAATCCAGGATGTTTTAAGGCAGGATTCCAACCTCATTACTGCCAGGAATAAAATTCATCCAAGGTGGAGGTGTCCTCTCTTAGAACTCAAATCCGTCTCAGAATGGCTTTTCTTTCTCCTTTGTTTTTGAAGCCAGGCAATTAGTTCCTTTTTTTTTTTTTAAGAAAAAAAAATTGTGCTAATGCACAAAACTCTTTCTCCCCTTTCATTTATTTGAAATTGAACTTAACAAAGTCAGTTCCGAGCAAGTACTATATATGAGTAATGCTTTTTGTCCATAAAAGAGCATTGACTCAAATGGTATGGGAGTGCTGATTCTCTCTCTGCTTTGTGTGAGCCTCCATAATGACAAAGTACTCATGTCAGAGTGTATAATGAAACTATAAATTGTTTTCATGAATGCTCTGAATTTGGTCTTTTATGGGGCAAATTCAAAAGGTATTTCGTGCCACATTTCACATGTGTGAATAACATCAGACGGTGCAATATATCCAGTAAAACTAAAGAGTCCTAGTCAGGCTCACCCTGGCCAGTGTGGTGGGTGACTGTCAAGTGGGGGTGGCTCAGGGTGGGGGGAGTGCAGAGAAGGAGGGTTGAAGAAATCCCATAACTCCAAGGCAAGAGTTCCAGCTATGTGCACCCAATTGTTTTCGGAGAATTTAAAGTGTGGCTAAAATACTTAGGCTCATAAAATGGGTCTCTGGGTGGTAGGTGCCCATCTTTGAATCACAGAAGTTGTACGTAGCCACACAGAGGTAGTGAACAAATTCTCATGTGAGAGACTGTCTGCTGGGCTGTGTGGGCAGGTGCAATCAATTTCAGTGATTTATGGTTCAATTAAGTTATTTTTAATGACTTTTTGTGTATTCTTTCTGATTATAGAAGCCATATAGGTTTATTCTAGAAAATTTAGAAACCATAGAAAAGCATAAAGAAGAAAATTAAAAAAAAAGAAACACACGCAATTAATTTTACTACCATTGTAACTGTTAGTAATATTTTCACAAGATTTTTATTTAAATGTTTTCCTGTGTGTATCATTTTGCAAAATTTTAATAAAATTTTACACAGTTTTGTCTGAATATATAAATCTTTTTAAAATAAAATTGGGGTCTGGCTATCTATGTTGTTATTGTTATACCTGTTGTTGAGTGGGCCCTTGACTCATGGGAACACATGAATAATGAGTTTAGACCACTGTGCTCCAGAGAGCTTTCATTGGCTGATTTTTGGAGGTGGATTTCCAGGCCTTTCTTCCTAGTCTGTCTTAGTCTGGAAGCTCTGTTGAAATCTGTTCAGCATCATAGTAACATGCATGCCTCCACTGACAGACAGATGGTGGCTGTGCATGAGGTGCATTGACAGAGAATTGAACCCAGGTCTCCTGCATGGAGGGGGAGAATTCTACCACTGAATCACCACTCCCCCCCGGGAATATATATGCATACACATACCACACCACCACTGCCCCCCTGGGAATATATATGCATACACATACCACACACACACACACACACACACACACACACACACATTTTAACGTCTGCTTTTGTACTTGTCAATTAAATCATTTTCCCTGTCCTAGGAGCCCTGGTGGTGCAGTGGTGAAGAACTACAGCATGCTATGGCTGCTAACCGAAAGGTCAGCAGTTCAAATCCACCAGCCACTCCTTGGAAACCTTATGGAGCAGTTCTGCTCTGTCCTATAGGGTCACTATGAGTCAGAATCAACTCCATGGCAACTGGTTTGGGTTTTTTTTTGGTAGTTTATTGAAATTCGTGAATGTCCAAGATTTTGGTGCTGTCGTGAGCAAAGTATGCATCGGGCACTGTAGCAGCCTTTATGTACCCTGTGTCACTTACCAACAAATGTCTCTGGGTGTAGGATCTCTAAAAACAAAAAAGGCAAAAGAATCCACAGGGTGTGTTATCTACCGGGTATGTTTAAGTGGAGGCCTGTCGCTATTTTTGACCAGTCGCTCCAATTTGTTTTCTCTGCAGTACCTGGTGTGTAAAAGGAAGCTGGAGAGTAAAAAGGAAGCCCTGCTGATCCTTTCCAAGGAGCTGGACACATGCCAGCAGGAAAGAGACCAGTACAAACTCATGGCCAATCAGCTTCGAGAACGCCACCAGTCACTGAAGACGAAGTACCGGGAGCTGATCGTACGTATTACTACGCGGGGGTTTTTCTCTTCCCTCCTTAAGAGGTGAAGAGGGGGATTTTAAAGTGCTGTTTGTTCAAAATATGATTAAATCCAAACGGTATAGAAGTAGAAAAATTAAGAAGTGAAAAATCACCACCCCTGTTTCCTCCTCACCCTGGCTCCACTTGCTAGTTGATACATACATGCTCCCAGGCTGCTTTCTCTGCCCTTACGAACTTACATGCATATATATGTATGTGTTTGGGTGTGGCTATTTATTAATTATATGGAATTTGTTTTTTAAGAGGATTCATATTGTAAATCTGTAATATGGTAGCCATTGAGCCACATGTGTCTATTTCAATTTAATTTTAAATTAATTGAATGAAATAAAATTAGAAATTCAGCCCCTCCGTCTCACTTGTCATATTTCACGGGCTCGACAGCCACAGTTGCCCGGTGGCTACCGTATTGGACAGGGTAGGTGGAGAACATGTCCATCATATGCAGATGGTGCTATTGGACAGCAGTGTATATAGAAATGTTCTGAAATTTGTTCTTTTCACTCAGTGCTTTATTTTGAATATTTCTAGGCCATGTACACAGAACTTAGTTATTCTTTTAAACAGCTGCATAGTAATCCATGGTGTGGCTATTTCCATAACCTTTCCCTTATTGTAGACATGTAGATTTTCTCTAGGTTTTCATATGGCAAGATTTTTAAGGGTGCAAATTATACGGAAATGGAGGATACTGACTGCATAGTGCTATTTTGCATTCTTGCTTCTTTTGTTCCCATGATGCAATCTCTTAAAAGTGCTGATGCTGTTGCTAACATTTAACGGTGTTTTGTACCGAGAATCATTGGTCTGTCCCAGAGCGGTAATAGAGTAGAAGGATTCCTCAGGTTATATGTGAACATCGTCAGATAGAAGAGTACTTGTTTTAATGAGCAGTTACAAACTATGGACATACTTGAGTTCCCAGATGGCATGAAAGAGAGAAATTGAGTCATTTTAAGACAAAAAGTCAGGTAGGATTGGAAGTTCTCTGTTCATTTTCCTTCATTTTGGGCAAATCCTATCTCCACCCTGCTCCTCTCCTCCCCCTTCCATTCTCCTGCCCATAGAGAACCCTCAAGTGTGTGTGTGTATGTGTGTTAGGTGACCAACAGTCCCAGTTTGCTTGAGACAGTTTTCTGGGGCATGGGACTTTTAGTGCTAAAACTCGGGAAGTCCCAGTCAAAGCGTGATCACCTTCAAGTGTGTGTGTGTGTGTGTGGTTTTGTGTGTGTGTGTGTGTAGCTGTCCATCACTATTCCTTTGGAGCTAACTATTTAAAAGAGGAACCCAAACCAAATGAAATGCTGTTTCAGTTTAGGCTCTGCTCAAAAATAATTTGGATAAATCCAGTGTTGTTCCAGTTCACATAATTTTAGAAAATATATAGATTTGGTCCTAATTGGAACTGATTCCCTTGGGTTTTTTCCAGAATAACTCTGGTTTAGCTTATAGTTAATTTCTTGAAAGGTATATTTGCACTCGATTCAGAAGATGACTGGCTTCAGGGCTGTTGGGGGTGAGTGTCGGGATTTAGGTGCATGCTTTGGTTCATTTCCTGAGTCTAAGCAAATCTGTTTTGAAAAAGTAAAATGTAATGTAGCTTTCTTTGTAGGATGGAGATCTATCACTTCCCCCGGAAAAGAGGAAACAGGTAAGACTTATTCTTGTTCTTTGATAAGGCTCAGAAGGTCGGTATTGATGCTGACAGCTGGGAGGATACAAAGCCAAACCAAACCTGTTGCCATGGAATTGATTCCATCTCACAGCAACCCCATGTGTTACAGAGTAGAACTGCTCCATAGCATTTTCTTGGCTGTAATATTTATAGAAGCAGATCGCCAGGCCTTTTCTCCGTGGTGCTACTGGGTGGGTTTGAACGGCAAGCCTTTAGGTTAGAGTCAAGTGCAAACCGTTTGTGCCACCCAGGGACTCTTTTGGGAGGGTCAGGGATGCCAAGATGTATAGAGAAGAGCTGCTTTTAATTTCCCAGAATGCTTTGCATCCAAGAATCCTTTCCATCGAGGTTGTAGACAGATACTGACTGTGAAGAGGGGTTAGGGATGGGGTGAAATACAGTAAAGTCTAACAGGATGGAAGAGGTGCATGAGTTGACTGCATTCCCTTTCTTGTGGGGACACCTGGAAAAACTGAGAGCTGAGGGCTCATGGCTACTGTATTTTAGCTTACTGTTTGGTGGGTGGATACTATTCTGCTATTTAGGTCCTGCTGCTTCAGACTTGCAAACACCATTTACTATCAAAACTCAGAAGTCATTGATTTGCACAAAGATTCTGTAGCAGAATCCTGATCAAAAGGGGAAAAAATGTGGAACAGAATTTCAAATCCGCATGGAATCCAGAGTTAATAGAGCCATTGAGGCTGCTGACCCCCTGAAACTATTGCCCTGAGGAAATCTTTAAGCCTTAAAGCAAAACTATCTCCTGAATTCATCTTGAAACCAAACAGTAGTTTAGCTTAATTGGGAAAGAATGTCTGCCTTGAGCATTATGTTCTTTTAAGGAATTATCTATATGAGATCAAATTGACAACAGCAACTTGAAAGGTTAAATGAGAAGTTTAGGGGATAGTGAGTTTGTGTTGATGGTGGTGGAACAATTCAGAAAAAGATACTGAAAAAGATGGCACAGCTTGAAGAATGTAACCAATGTCACTGAATTGTACATATAGAAATTGTTGAGTTGATGTATGTTTCCTGTGTATTGTTGTTGTTAGGTGCTGTTGAGTCGGTTCTGACTCATAGCAATCCTGTGTACAACAGAACTCCCCGGTCCTGTACCATCCTCACAATCGTTGCTATGTTTGAGCCCATTGTTGCAGCCACAGTGTCAGTCCATCTCATTGAGAGCCTTCCTCTTTTTCACTGACCCTCTACTTTACCAAGCATGATGTCCTTCTCCAGGGACTGGTCCCTTCTGATAACATGTCCAAAGTACGTGAGACAAAGTTTTGACATCCACCCTTCCAATGAGCATTCTGGCTGTACTTTTTCCAAGACAGATTTGTTTGTTCTCCTGGCAGTCCATGGTGTATTCAGTATTCTTCGCCAACACCATAACTCAAAGGCTTCGATTCTTCTTTGGTCTTCCTTATTCATTGTCCAGCTTTTGCATGCATATGAGACGATTAAAAATAAGATGTCTTGGGCCAGACGCACCTTAGTCCTCCAAGTGACATCTTTGCTTTTGAGCGCTTTAAAGAGGCCTTTTACAACAGATTTGCACAGTGCAATGTGTCTTTTGATTTCTTGACTACTGCTTCCAAAGGCATTGATTGTGGATCCAAGTAGAATGAAATCCTTGAAAACTTTAATCTTTTCTCCATTTATTATGATGTTGCTTATTGGTCCAGTTGTGAGGAATTTTGTTTTCTTTATTTTGAGGTATAATCTATGCTGAAGGCTGTGGTCTTTGATCTTCATCAGTAAGTGCTTCATTTCAAGTCCTCCTAGTTTTCAGCAAGCAGAGTTGTGTCATCTGCATATGGCAGGTTGCTTATGAGTCTTCCTCCAATCCTGATGCCCCGTTCTTCTTCATATAGTCCAGCTTCTCAGATTAGTTGCTCAGCATACAGACTGAGTAAGTATGGTAAAAGGATACAACCCTGATGCACACCTTTCCTGATTTTAAACCATGCAGTATCCCGTTGTTCTGTTCGAATGACTGCCTCTTGGTCTATGTATAGGTTCCTCATGAGCACAATTAAGTGTTCTGGAATTCCATTCTTCACAATATTATCCATAATTTGTTATGATCCACACATTGAAGTACTTTTGCATAGTCAGTAAAACACAGGTAAACATCTTTCTGGTATTCTCTGCTCTCAGCCAAGATCCATCTGACATCAGCAATGATATCCCTCATTCTACATTCTCTTCTGAATTCATGTGTATCTTCACCAAAAAAAAAAGAAGGAAGAGATAGCGATATATTGGCAAGAGAAGTAAAACAAATGAAAAGGGAATACCAAAAAAAAAAAAAAAAAAAAAACCACCACCACAAACAAAAAAAACAACTCGCAAGTTATCCTTTGACTTTATTGTTTTTTCTCCTGTGTGGTAACCAACAGCATTTATTAATAATCCATTTTTCCCGCTGACTTTGGATGCCCACAATTCTTATATGGCTATGGATCTGATTCTGATGTTTCTTTTCTGTTCCCTTGAGCTTCCTGTGTAGTCCTGTAGCTGTATCATATTATTCTAATTAATTTTGCTTTATAGTTCTTTTGATACTGATTGGGCTAGTCTCCTTCCCTTTACCCTTCTTTTTCAGATTTGTTTTGTTTTGTTTTTCTTATGTGTTCATTTTTCCAGCTAAAACTTAGAAACCTTTTATCATTTACCCCGATCTCTCTCTCTCTCTCTGTCACACACACACACACTCACACACACACACAAATCCTGTGGGTATTTTGATTGGGGTTTTGTTAAATTTTTAGATTAATTTGGGGACAGTTAACGTTTTATAACATTACATTGTATTTAGGAATATTCGAAGTTAAATTTCTTTTAATCTAGTTGCAAATATATATATACACACATATAT